GCATCAATAAACTGTTTCACATACATGTATGGTAACCACTTGTACATCAGTTAATTAGAAGGTTCTATACTAAGGTGGAAACCGTGCATTCTAGCCATGCTCTTGAGATTCAACTGTGAGTTTGGGAGTTTCATGCATCTGATCACATCATCGCACAGATTTTCACAACACCGAGTGCCTCACTGTGTAAGGAGTCAGAGTTGCAATGATCACAGCACTGGTACCGGTAGTTACCGAGGTATAGAGAAAATGACATTAATAATAAGGTTAACAAAATTCCAGAATACTCGTTCAAGTTTTCCAGCACATTCCCTGCGAGTAAAAGTGAGAGCTTGTGTTAGCTGCGCGCACACTGAAAATTTCCAAGCAATACACGTCCACAGTATGTACACAGTACCAATGCAGTACTAGCGTACAACGATGTTTTGTCATCCAGCACAAAGTACCGGTACACTGTACAACTATAGGAATGTAGATGGGATTTAGGATATAGGAATGTAGATGGGATATAGGAATGTACATGTGTACATGTACAGTGCATGTACATGTACACTGTACACCAAGTACAGCACATGTTTTCATACATCTGGTTGATAAATTGAAACTGACAACATACTGTAATTTGGACTGGACATCCTGTACATTCATACATCATTACACAGGATGATTGAAAAGTGACCCAGTTTGAGGGAAGGGTGTCAAACAATTACTGTTAATACCAGACATCCCACGCAGCAATTAAGAGTTTGCCCTGCAGCACACCACAATTTCATTAATTCATTTTCTCTTATTTTCTCCTACAGTTATCACCTAAGCACATTCACTATAATAAGGATGTCCTGTCTAGACCAATCAAGTGGCCAATTTAACTCACTCATGAATCATTCATCCTGCAGAACCAACAGAGCACAATGTCCTACATGTACCTGTAAAGTATGATGCCTCTCCCAACAGTGGTGAATAAACTTACAGCTCTGTTAATGGCATGCCTGACTCAAGCTATATGCTTTCAAGGTTTTGCCCTTTCTGGTGACATTGGTAACTTGACATATAGTGTTTATTTTGTCATGAGGAGAATATAAAGGCCCTGTTTACTTCATATGGATCCAGATCTTGATCAGTGATCCAAACGCTGGTTCGCTCCATCCATTACATCTATAGGTTCTGATGTCAATGAACCAATGATGGATCACTGATCGCAATCCGGATCTGCACGAATCAAACGAGCCCTAAAATTTGTGTGTATGAGCTTGGGTTCCTGCTGGTATGAGCATTAATTCCTTGCTCTATGATATGAGTGACCTCCCCTTCATAAAAAAAACCTGTTACAATTTGTCTACAAATTGCTTCAACTTCAAGCATTAGGCAAAGAATGAGACACTTTGTCAATTGATACATTTATTTCTTAATTAAAAAAAATCATGAAATATGTAGTAGACTTCTGTACATCCTCTGAAGAAAAATGTAGCCTGGCTCCTGATAAAAATGGAGCAAGATACCACCATGACATTTAATAACACATGTACCCAATACCTGTATATCCACTTTAACCTTTTCACTAGACACTGGTCAGTAAATCACCTATGTACACAAATGAACACACCAGTACATTGTGCATGCCTGACTTCTCTCCAAACAAAGTGATTTTTCTTTAGTACATGGGTCATGCTGGAATCTTAATCCATCTAATTAGCTAAGAGTGGCTGACACCAAATTGACAGGCAGGACTGGGATAAATGGAAGCTAGCAATCAGGTTAAATGGTCTGGGCCACATTTCCCCCCCCCCTCCTGGATATGTCACATCATGGAGGAAGGAACGTGTTCCTTCCTCCATGGTCACATCAGGGAACTCCTCGTACCGGTAGCATGACTGGCCATACTGCCACTCAGCTTGATCATGGAGGCCGCGGCTTGATCATCTTGCATCCCCGAGATTCTATTCCGCTCACACCTTTGGCGAGCCCTTTGCGATGCTCCAGACCAGCACCTCTCCTAATTGGATTTGGTAAAAAGGGACGCAAAGTGGCCGAGGGGAGCCCAACAAAGGGATGGCGTTGATTATTTTGGGGGTTGTACCTTGCTGTCACTCAGCCATCTGTTCCCTCTGTCACTGCCCACACCCTTTGGGTAGCGCCACGGGAGCATCTTGTCCCGATTCAGGGATATACCGTTATACATGTACATATATTGATTCTTACTGCCTGACCAGGGAAGGGTCGTGATCCAAGCCCAGATTCAAGGTGGTCATGAGTATTCTGAATAGGGAGATCCAGGGCATGTTAAACAATGCAGTGATGTTTGCCATTTTTGGGGGACGTGATATTCCGCATCAACCCACGAATGAGAGACTTTCAGACACTGGTGGCAGCAGACATGTAACAAACTTTTTTCATGTGTGTGCTCACAACTACCAGTACACATATGAACACCTACTCAGAGCAATGTGCACATGCCCAAAACTGGTAAAAAGGACCTGTATAAGTTACAGTACATTCACCAAGCGCCTCAAAGTCTCCTGTTGTGTGCATTTGGGGGGGGGCAGAGGGAAATATTTAGCGCTGTTACATAATAAAACAAATACAGTAAGTTACATGTACCGGTACCGTACCGGTAACATCAGTTACAAGTACCTGCTTACCTGTAAAGGTGCACCGTTCATTTACATGTACCTGCTTACCTGTAAAGGTGCACCGTGCATAATCATTGGGACCAGTGTACAGTTCCCGTTTCGAGAAAAGAAAACTAATCGTAAAATTTATGAGGCAATTAAGCCTTTCCAATTCTGTTGATCAACTTGCCTGACAAGTGCACTCATGATATTAGTGTTCCTGGATAAACATGCAAATATCGAATCCATTACATACCGGGTATTTTGCACACAAGCAGGTTCATAACAAAAACTAACACTGATTTGCCATGTACGTACTGTGCATGTACATGTACATTTACATGTACTTGTGCATGGTGGAAGATCAATCGTCACTATTACCGGGAAGAAGCATTTACGCAGTACAAATAATTAATGCATTTTACAATATTTCACCATCCAATTCATTCTCACAGGGGTTACATGGGCCTATGTATAATGTAAACCTACATGTACATGTACAGTGTACATTTACAAGGGTACTTTGCAGTACATGCATGCTAAAACGTATAGTTGTACGTGTATGTACTGTACATGTACATGTATGTATGTAAGTCATAGCCTGAAATCCAGACCACAACCAAATTAAAGATTTGGGCTCAAATACCAGTATGTACATGTATCTAGATGCAACATGCAGTACACTTAGTTACTTGTGCATGTACTGGTACATGTACATGTTTATGTACATGCAAATGTACATAAAGCCTTAAATACATGTAAGTGTACAGTGCACATGACCCACTGTGTAGGCTGTACATACTATAAAAATAAGGCACCACCGTAGGTGAACGATGATCCCTAGTCATTTCCTGCAGCCCCATACCAATGTAATAGCCCCTGTAAGACCAGGTTTACTCCACGCATGCTAACGTGCACAGTGTGACCTTCTGACCTGGGAATATATTTAACGTTGGCATTTGGCTATGGCAGATGTGTTTCTACACAGAGCGGGATTTCACTTTCAGGGACTGACTCTGAACATCGTGTTCTGAATCAAACTGATTTAAAACAAGGACAAGAACACGGGCCATCTTGGGGAAAAAAACTGTGGATTTTTGAAGCTCTCATTTGTAAATCTTAAATCCGTACATGTACTGTACATATAGAGTGTATGTTGTAAACACCAGTATGAAAGATCATGTCTCAATTGATTTGGACATATATGCAAAAATATCTTCTCCATGTGCACTTGTGAGGACAAATGTACAGTCAGAAAAATGAGGATATACTGGGTACATGTATGCAATGGCTTTTTAAATGTAAATTAAATCAATACTAAGAATTTGTGGTTGAATTGAAGGTACAAATATCATGCAATGTACCGGTACATGTAGACATAAATAATTACAGTATACCATGTACTCGGCATACATGTACATACATTGTACGTGTATGCATCTAACATACATGTATTTGACACAAGTTGCATACATGTACACTGTACATGTCGTGTATTGAAAGTGCTATAAAATAAATATGAATGAATTATAAGAAAAACCTTACATATTTCCAAAATGATCCCGTATTATGAATAAATCGAAGTCCTGAATCTACGTGTACATACTTTATTAAATTAAAAACCAGATTTTGTTGACCAGGTATCAAAATGAAGTTTTATTTTATACGCTGTTGGAGTGTGAAGTATCCTGTCACAGTTTTGATGTCACTGTATACCGGTACATGTACATGTATGTTTGTAAAACACGATGGAAGCCATTCACATGCCACTTTTGAAATCAAATATAATCGGTACAGGTTTGGTTTCACTTTCAATTTCCATCAAGCTCACATTTTAGCCAATTCTAAAGCAGTCTGAGATCACATTCTGTCAGGAACAGTTCTCCCAAATGATTGTTCCCTCCGGTACAACCAGGTGGAAGGCAAGTGGTTCAACATGCCTGATCGGAACAGCCCAGTTTATTTCAGCCTACAGTTGAGGAGTTTTCCCACTGTGGTTGCATGTGACTCTAAGTAAACCACATACATATGTTCTCCACTCTCCAGGGAGATTGCTCGGATGAAGTTTGCCCTTCCCAAAGAGCTGGGAGACCCTGAATTGAGCTTCAAGGCTAAAAACTTGAGTTAGCATATGGCATACAGGAGGGATATTCTACAAAACAGTTTAGAAAGTTGAACTCAACAGCTGTTGCAGAGATAAAAGCTACAAAATGGCAAAATTAATACACTCCCAACTTCTACGTGGGTCAGTCAAATCATAGAGCAAGGATCGGCTATTAAAATCTGTGGCTTCCAGTATTAGACAGGCAGAAGCAAAACATCCCAACACTTCCAGAGTTCTGTGATATTTCAGTGGTATCCTTAATCTAATTAGAATGAAACTCAACATACCAGCCCTTCTTCAGTCTCCTGTTCAGTCTGGACCTCAGGTGACGAGCTGACCTCCTCCGGTTTGTGCTGAACCTCTATAATTCCCGCTTTCTTATTGCTTTTTAATTTCATCTTCAGTTGTCCCTTGGTGTAGTTGGTGGCGTGCACGTGAAATTCCGGGAAGCTCGCCTGATCCTTATCCTCCGAAGCCATCAGGCCTGGACCTGTACTTTTACCGTCCAGGTTGCAGTTCACAAAATTAGACTCCATCCATTCCTCAGTTTGTTTCTCTCAGCCTAACACTGTGACCTGGCTCGAGTACTGATTGTCATCCATCCCTGCTTGTGCCTGAAACGCAATGAACAACCTATTGTGCAGTGTCCACTGCCTTTGGCGGGTCTGCTGTCATCGAGCCAACACCGTTATGTCCTCACACAATTCCCCATCCAGGAAAACCTCCAAGGCAAAGCGGCAGTCCACGGTCTTTCAACAATGCCACCAAGGTAGAGACAAATCTCTAGTGAGAGAAATTTACAAATAGAGGGGAAATGATCAGGTTTCCAGTTGCACTGTACCCCTGTATTTGTACATTGGCAGGATGAATCACCCGCACAGCAGAAAGTGGCAGGGATAGCCAAACCACAGACCTGGGTAGATTGCATTATTCATCCATCAACTGCTACAAGAATGACCCCAAGCCATGATTCAACCTGTTTTCAAGCAGTCCATTGTAAATTGCCCCCCTGCACCTACTTGTACATGTACCTGCATTGAATGAACAAAGTTTTCCAATAAAATGACAGGTACAAAACAAACCAAACCAAACGAAAAAACCAACAAAATTTACAACCCATCTGATGCATCAGGTAGCACTTTGAAAAATCCATGTAGTTTTAAGGTTCACACATGTAGACAGTACGCCTATGTATACACACCTACATGTACAATGTACGTGTATGTCCGTACAGCGTACATGTTCCCGAACAGGTATGTACGATATCTGTCAAACATGCTTTTGAATTTTATTTCGATACATGTACATGTAAATAACATGCTTTTTGGTATGTAGCTTTTCCTCAAGCACGATATACACCAATAGCAAATGTCAACAACACTTTCAAATTCATGCACATGTATCATACAATATTGGTACAATTAAAAATACATGTACAGGTGTATGGTTTAAATGCACAGCAACCTCTCGATCAAGAGCGATTTTGCATACATGTATTTTTCCAAAGAACGTCCATTCCCATATTTTTCACATTATTGCTGCAACTTGAATAAATTACCGGGGTTTGTTTTCCTCAAAACCCCATTCAGACACATGGCGTGAAAATGACAAATTCATAATTCATGCTCATAAAATATTCATCCGCACATCTCCCCCCTCCGATAAGAAATAGACACTTTTGAAATACTGCCACTGCCCACTACCACCCACACTGCTCTGTATCATACAGGAAACACTTAGGATTTTCGAAGAATTTTTCATGTAACGCTGACTACACACGTAACACACATACATGTACATGTACAGTACCTGTACATATCCATGTATGCATACAATGTCTCATGGGTACATGGGCTGCACAAATTACACATGTACATGCGCTATACTACATGTACATGTACATGTAGTACATACATGTACATCAAGAACAAAAGTATCATAAATAAGGGGAGTTCACGTCCATCAGAACTACAAGTATAATGCAGCAATGGTCAAATGTGGAATTCTTTCAAAATGGAGGAATTGGAGTTGGCTGTGATTAATTGATGTGTTAATTCTGAATGGCCAATCAAATCAATTGAAGCATTTTCTAGCAAAATGGAAAAGAGAGGTTTCATTTCATTTCCAAGATCACTTTCAAAGAATTGCTGCATATCAGATTGCGACTTTGAGGGGCTGTGGATGGTTACAGTAAAGTTATACCTGGTTAAATTGAAACAGGAACAATGTGATTTAGACTTGTGACAACATGTACATGTATGTGGGTCACTGGGCAATGGGCTGGCCATACATGTAGGTTGCGAAGTTTGAAACCAGAACTATGTGATAAATTACACAAGCCACCAATGCCAGTAAAACGAGGAAAATTTGCTGGACTGCTTGCCTAGCTCAAATGGCAGGCTAGCTTGCCCCCTCACCCAAATTCACTCCCACTGAATATTAACGCTTGGCCCAAGCAGTTGATTCTTGTCCTGTGTTTAAAAAAGTACGAGAAAAAAAGAAAGTACATGTAATGTACCGGTACACGTACATATCAAAAAACTGTTGCTGGTCTCTTTTTTCACTGAATGTGCGTAGTAAACTTTTAAATTGTAGGCAGTGGATACTAGACTGTGAACTGACCCTGATGTGTTTGCTTAAATTGCACTGGCACAACAGGTGCACATGCCCCATTGTGCAGTACATGTTTTGGTGGACAAATATCATTAAGATGGTTTTTGGCGGCGCCAGCTAAATATACACTTTGGGGGAAAACAACTCCGGAAAATTCCCTACTGGCCCTAATTTAATACCATACATGTACATGTAGCACGCATGGCAACTCAACTCAATTTATATGAAGTTCCTGTTAAGCCCCGATCCTACTGGATTCACACATGACTGCCTTTGCATACGGTACATGTAGGTTCATTGGACGATGTTATCATTTCTTAAGCATAATGGTATGGTATGCGTTGCTCCCCTGGCCCAAATGTTGTTTTGGCAAATACTTTAGCATGTTTACGATTGCATATGGCTTCTTTTAATTTAGAAAGTGTTTTAGAGGTGTTAGCAGTGTGTTGACATTCAGGGCTCAAATTTCACGAGGGTTGGTCTCGATGCCTTAAGTATTTCCACATTAAATGGGGCCAAAATGGCCTGCCCCTTTTCTGCCATGGCCGTGGATGCCCTCTTGGAAAACATTGTGTGTCGCTCTTAGGACTGACCTGAAACACAGATCAAGGTTCCGCTGCTCATCGTTTTTGTGTTTTCCTACTTACATGTACATTTGCAATATTTGAAAAGAAACTTCCATTATTTTCACGAGTTCTCTTCGCAATTTGTTGTCGCAGTGGTGAAGACAGGTGTGCAAATCTCAATGCACTAAAGCAATGCTGCACTTCTTCCAGCTGCACCGCACCCATGCAAAACAACACATGATGGAAATGTGGCCAACCAGTCTAAACAACCTGGTCAATCGACTGTACAGGTTGAAAAAACATTGATACTGAGAGAGGATTTCTGCAAGTTAATTCATAAAACTTGGTCTCTTGTCTTTGCATGTATTTTCTGTGGTCACAAGTTCAATTTGAGGTTGTTTTGCTCGTACTTGAAGCAAGCATGTTTCAACAAAATTTATGGCGTGGCATGAGGTTCATCACCAACACGTCTGGATGCATAACACCAGTTTGCCGTTGTGATTACCTTCCTAGCATTGTGTGAATTGTCCATAATTCTTGTGAATTATCGACTATAGAAATTTGTACATAAATTAAGACAGGTTTCCATCATTTTTTGAAATGATTTTTGGAAGCTTTTGTCCCCATTCATGTCATTCAACCAGAACAAAAACCTGACCCCCTCACAAAAAAATGTTGACCTATGTAGTACGGACCCGATTTTTAAGAGGCATGTAATCAGAAGCAGAACTATTTTTTTTTGCCTTAATTGTTACGACCATGGTCATGACTAAACCTCTTCATAGCTTTTGACCTGAAGTGTTTGTGAAAGGATAAACCCTGGATCTGTCCAAAATACGGTCTGTCGGTCGAGGCAGAAATTCAATGTACATGTAGTTATTTATTAAAAAATCATCGGTAATTAGAATATTTATAGTTCACTGCTGCCTTCAAACTTTGTACAAAACTTGGTTCATGGGCACAATGTTTAATATCTAATTTCTAATTTGCAGCTTTTAATTTAACATTTACATGCTTTACTTTGCAAACATAATTAAATAAAGCATATCCCACTGTAAAAGTACTTGCATTAAAATACTGACCCAGTAACATTTTTGTGGTGTATATGGGTAAGACAAGAACCTCATTGCCGTAATCAGCAAGTCATTCCCAATGAATACATGTACATAAGTGAATGCAAGGGGGTACTACACTCTACCTGCTCCAGTAATTTGAATGAATAAGTAAATTTTCAAATTGGCTTCAGTGCCCCTTATTTTGACCAACCCATTCATTAAGGCCATTTGGCCCTGCCCCCAAAACAACAAAATTCGAGGCCTGGACATTGTGTTGAGGGCAATTATCATGTTGGCGTTACTTAGACTCTACTAGCATGACTATTACTTCAGTAATACCATGAATAAAAAAACAGATTATCAGGCAATTAATTAGAAATGACAGAAATTGCATATCGTTTATCAACAATTCCAGCTTTGGAAAGAGTTCCATACAGGCCTACGGATGCCACTGACACCCTGTAAAGAAACCTAGGCTATGAGACTGGTCGGATCATGTAGCCTAGGATAGGAGGCCTAGGGCCTAAAACCAAAACATTTGCCCTGGCATGCCTGGGCTAAGTCAAGTGTTTTATCCCTCCCTACGATTCGATCATGCCTATTCTTTTCTGGCATGTCTGGGCATAGTGACGGCTAACAAGTCACTGTAGGAAATAATTACTGGCGTCTGAATATGGAACTCTTTCCCATCGACATACTTACAATATTTTGCTGATCCTTATTGAAATCTAAGTACAAAAAACAGACAAAACACAAATTGACGTGTCGAATCCCTCGTAAAAGTGGTAAACAATACGTTTGATACATGGTACCCTGGAATCGGCTCTCTTATATTGTTCATCTAAGCGTCAAGGTTACAGACCGTGATATCCCATAATTCATCGTAGTACCTTGCAATCAACAAGATGGCGGCGCCCAGTGTGCTCTCAAAATGCCGTGGTGAGTCATTTCGCAAGTTTTTCGTTGATTTAACAGTCAGTTGTTCTTTTCAGTTTTATTGGAATATGGACAATTTTGCAAAATGCTCTGCAGCCAGTTGCCCCACCCTGTAAAAGGCAACGGAGTCACGCCTCGATCATGATCGATGCACCACGGTGTTGCCGTTGTCTTGGTTTGCCCACGGCCTTCGTTTTGATATGTGTAATAAGTTACATGTAAATACTGACGACCTAGTTTTAGCTAGACAGTTTATAAGATATATATTGAAAAATAACATACAATTTAAGATATCTGTATCTCATATACAACGTGGAACTGGAATTTGTGGGAAGGGGAGTGAACCAGAATTTCTCCTAAGTCCCAAGCCAGTGCCCCCCCCCATTGTCAGATTGTAACTTAAGTTGCATTGATGATGATCATATGCAAGGTAGTTAGTAATAAAAAGCACCACATGTTTAAGTTTTCTTCTTTAATGCAAATCTAATCAAACATGTACTACAGGTAAGTTGGACAAATAAAATCAAGGTACATGTACATGATGTAAGAATATTCAGTCATACTTGTCTGAAACCGGGATTTCTCTGAATGTCGCTATGTTATTTTGTAGGTCGAATACACATTTTTAGCATAAGTTTTACTGTGGATTCAAATTTTTTAGAATCAGTAAAAGTCAGTAGATTCCACAAATTACATTTTCATTCTTCATACAAGTACCCCTTTGGTATTAATCAAGGTCAAAATCTATGGTCACACAAAGATTAGAAAATAGGATATCAGGAATAGCGCCACCAATGTCTGGGTCCATGAATCTAGCTATTATTGAAACTCGGCCGTGCCACTTTCAATTTCATGACTTGAGCATCAGCGGAAAGAATACGGATGTGATGGATGCCACTTGACACCCTCTGCACAGACCTTATGAAACAGTTGTGAAAAATTCTGAGTGTTTTCTAAGTGAATAACTCAACATTTTCACGGCTTAATTGACTTTTAGGGACTTTTATAGCTTTCAGATGGATAACCACTTCCTGCCGGAGAGCCCGGTCTTGGGCATCGTGTGTTTATACGCGTGGCCAGGGTCTCCGAAATCGGACAAAGGGAACTGGGCCATGTAACAAAAGACCGTTCTCTGAACAAAAGACCAGGCTGCTGGGCATTATCAACATTTTTTCACTCTCAATAGTGGAGAAAATCCAGCCTTGTTTTGAAACAGTATACCACGGTTTCGGGCATTTAGTGGATTACCGCCGGGGATAAAAGCACTCCACCACCACAGTGATGAGCCACACAACACCGCTACACGCTAATCTGGCCCATGTTGAAAAGAGGTCAGGTTCATAAACAAAAGAAAGTTACATAACACTGCACAATCTGGGCTCCTTTTACAAGGCTGCAGGCCTGGCTGAAATACTTGGGTGTCAATAGATTTTGACTAGATTGGCCACCAGACAGTAATTCATGTGAGTGTAAACGTCCATTAATTGAAATCATGAATTTTGAAGAATTTTGAAAACTGAAAATTTTGAAAAAGTCCTGATTATGCGCACTGCATTTTCAAACCACCCGGCAGCAAGTGGTTAATACTAGCCTAAAATAGGTCACAGCAGGGAAAAATTAGTGGTGTCCACATGTGGAATTCTTTTCCCGTTTTATTGTTTTGTAACTAAGTGGCTCCAAATTTCACATTAAAAACGGTTGAAAATAAAGTCTGATTACTGAATATCATCTTCAGAAGGATTGTACACTATATATTTGGGGACCCCTTTCCTATGATAGAAGGGAGACCCACATTTTAACTTTTGGATTCACCTTGGTAGATGACTATTATATCTTGCTTAATAACTGTAGGGTTGGTATTGTCAAAAAAGGGCAGGGTTTTGAGTTTTGAGGGAAATTATAAGGGGCAAATGAGTGTTTTAACACATGACACATGGTGGATTCAAATTTACATGACTAGTTTATCAGTAAGAGTCACATTTTCTCACAATTTACAATTCAAAATTTCCAAAAATAAGGTCAGCACAATAAACAGAGCATTGCCTTTGGTTTTTCTTGGGGGCTGACCAGTTATGACAAGATTAAAATGACAAAATTGGGGAGTCCCCAAATATACAATCCCCATCTTTAGAAACCTGGTTACTAATTTGAGTTTTGTGATGTAAGCACTTTATTTATGCAATAAAATGCATGAATTATTTGTTGCTGCTTTCTGAACACTGAATCACTTAACTCGTCCTTGTCCATAGCTAATGTACATATAGTGCGGAATATTGCGTCATTTCCAGTGAACCCCTACTTTGTAACCTTATAGCCAGCAACTGCACTGCATCTGTTGACTCCAGTTTTTTAATATAATCCTCATTCCTTTTGCATTGCTTCATCTCAGTTATTCCTTATCCTCATACGTAGCCCCTCATTTGATATACTTTGGACATGTATTATCCAAGCCAATGATTTTGGAAGTTTACTTTTGAGTTGCAGGAATATCTTCTCTGTCATGTCTTGAGGGCCCATTTGATGAGTAAATGCAAGCAATACTGATAAATTCAACCACGTTGATGAAGTAGGCCTATTTTTCATCACATTTCCCTTTTTCACCAGCATGACTGATCCATTTTAACCTTACAAGGAACCCTTGCTGGATAAATGGCTAAGTTCATGCTGGCCTTGTGTGGGGAATAATAGCTTCGTGAGAGACTGTGCAAAAAAAGTCCACATTCGAAAACTTGTTCAACTTCCAAAGAGATGTTATTCTCATCAGAATGCCACACGCTTTCCAAACTGTTTCTAAGGTGCTACAGATTACTCATGAAATCAATGTTAGCACTGGCAATTTGGCAAATGTCTCATACCCAGGTTTATAAACAACACACAACAGCCAAACACAGTGTTAACCCTCCTTTGCTGAAGTCACTCTTTGGGTCACTTGGTAAACACCTCAAAGAAGCACAGCTGTGTTGTGTTGTGCACTGTAAACCCAAAGGAGGGTTTTAATCAATGTTTACAATCTCATCAATTCAAAGACTAGTGGCTCTGGACAAAGAAGTTTTAATATCTAGAAATGATAATTATTTTTTCATATATTTCTACTTACATGTAGCCATTGAGAGCTAATACACATATATCAGCTTAAAATCCATTCAGAAAGTCATTCTGAGCTGCTGCCATATTTGAGCTTCCAGACACCAACATGTGAACCTTAAAATTGTGTACCCTTTTCCCCTTGTTATTATTACTCTTAGGAATGCTTTTGCACAGACCGTTTCCAAGATATTTGCAAAGGGTAAGTTCTGCAATTTTTAAGTGCACATCAAAATTTCAAAATAATTTTACTTCAAACGGGAGTGTTTATGGTAAGCACTGTGTGTTATTACCCCTTACCATGCCGACTCGAACAAGATAACACAACATAATGATCCCGAGCAGTTTAGGGTTAACCAACAACAGTTCACAAATGGATTGGATTGTAAAATTTCTGGATTGTAAAAGAAAATAATGAAACACAGCATCAACTGCAGTTCTGAGTACACGTACATGTACAATACTCTGACCTGGTACTGAAGATCAAAGATTGTATAATGCCCCATAGCAGCACAAGATGGAGAACTTCACCCCCAATACGCGTAACACATTGTAATCACATGGGCGCCATTTGGGTTGGACTACGTCTGTACTGCGTGTGTTAATCACACGGCGCAGGTGCTGTGACAGGCACACACACCTGGTATGCCTGCGCTAGCGCCTATGCGCTGCATTAACATTCACACTCGAATGGTGCCCATTCTTTTTGGCAGGGTTCTCCATCTTGCACTGCTATGCGGTGCTATAATGTCTTTGCTGAAGATGCTTAATACTTCCTCTGAGACTGAGTACATGTGCATGTACATGTGCCAGGCCCACACAAATTCCGAGGGAACGTAAAGCACATTACTATTAACCTTTTATGCTTAGTTTTGAATGCTAAATCAAAATATTATTTTTATGTTCTGCTATCTTCGAATAAGGTCCATTTCTTATTTTCAAAGAAATAAGTGCAATTATATCAACTCTGATTTCAGTATTTCTACATGTCGAAGCTAGTTGTTATTGTTTTATTATTCAGACTGGGACCCGTGGGAAATCAGTTCTATTTAAAGGACTGAATGGATCACCTAGTATAAAGAGGAAATAAAATAACATTATTAAACCTTGACAGTTCATTCCTACAGCAACTAACTTCACCCTTGCATGTACATGTATACATATATGTACACCTGCATGTTTACAGAAACAATATGTGACTAGCATGCAACCTCAGTCCTCCAAACTTCTGCTGGGTTAAATTTGAAGGACTGCCAACGATCAGGGCTCTAGCCCAAGGTGCCAGGCTTAGCAGTGGACAGGGGTTACTTTCAGGGGTGTGTCACCCAAAGGCAAATACCACAAACTTTGGCCTCGATCCTGAGCATTTGGTGATAAAAGAATGGTATTTAGCAATGCATTTAAATATAAAGTGGCTGCGAAAACTGTATTTAGCTAAAAATTGGACTTTTGCCAGCTGGAGCCCTGACAGTTGCTGAGCTGTAGCCTGGAGCTTGCAGAACGACATGTACGTTGTACCCTCCAGATTTTCATTTCATTGCACCAGGCCACTTGGTTTTAGCCTTCTGCAAAAGATCTTCAAACTGTACTTTTGGTAATGTTGTTTGCCTGTCGGACATACATGTGCACGTACTGTAGAAAGTCTTGAGGCATCTGTGGGCATCATGTTCATGCGGTACATCAGCAGCTGCAGGCCCGAGGAGTACACCAGAGTCAGCTCCAGATATCTTCAGGACAGCGGAGGAGTCCCCAGTAAGTCAAGGGAGATGATCATTTCAGTTGTTTCATATTGAGTCTTTTTTTTTGCCCACTCAGCAACAAAGTGTGAAGATTACTAAATTCTGCCCACGTTCCTTGCCGAGTGAAATTTTTGAAATTCATTGAGGAAAGAGTTCCTATAATAAATGCTCTGGCATTTAAACTATTTGCCAATGGTACCATGCTCGTCTTGTTTGATATGAAATAACCTCGAGAGCTAGTTTTTTAATCTTTACGTTGGGGCAGACAGGCTAAAAATTTGGATCCTAAACTGTCTCACTCCTTTCTTGACTTTTTAAAAATTGTGTTCGTCTATCAGATTCCCCTCTGTTTTACTGTTGGTTTGATTCAACATCATTACTAAATGTTTGTCAAGCTGAACTTACCGATCTCCTTTGAAGTTAAACACTTGGTTTTACACTATTTGGCAAACAAAACAGCTCAAGCAATTCACAAACTGCACAGGGGTGACCGAAATTTACAGTTGACCTTGAAAAAAAGCTCACAACTGTACCCGATGGGAAAAAAAATCCGGTCAGACGTCAAGGCCATCGTTGTTTTGTTTCTGGACCCAGGCGAACCATGGAATGCAGCACATTGGTCAGTATTACACCATCCCCAGAAAAGATGTCAAAACCATCCTACCAGTGGGCAGCTCAACCAGATGGGAACAAATGGTAAGGCAGACTGGAAAAGGAGCAATTCACGAAATAGTCTTCTGATACAATCCATCTGCTTTTTTCCCCAACCCCAGCACCGTCTGCTTCAGGCTTGTGCTTCGTGGGTGGAGTCTCCAGCTCAGCTTCCTGCTGCTCAAACATTACAATGTGTAATTTGAGGCAACTTGTTATGCAGAAGTGTTTGCAAAAGAAAAGCATCATTCCTCCGGCCTTTATATCTAATCACATGCATTACGCTCTTTATTTCTGTCATATGGATGAAAGAAAATATGCAATTTTTATTTGAAAAAATTAATTCTCATGCAGTAATTGTACCCCCAGCCTGTAAGTGCAGAGAATCAAGTCCAACTTGAGTCCAATTACAAGTCGAATCTGAAGTGTGCTCACAAGTAGGATGAAAGGATCAGTGACAAAGAAATGTCCTTTTCACTGTGGAATTCACTTGTCTGTGACTCATCGTGAGACTGGACGAGTTGTGATTGACCAGTAATTGACTTGTGGTAGACATGTGAGGGTTTGATTACGGCACTGTTCAAGCATTGAGATATCAGCTTGTTTGTCAGTATGTCGGCATGTTTTATTGCCTGTCTGTCGGTTTCCATCCCCCTCCCCAAGATTGATCCCTTTCAGGAAGCAGCCATCATGGTCAGGCAACCCGCTGTGGAGATCATCAACTACCTCAAGCAGGCCAACTACGAGCATCCGCCCGTCCGCTATGTCCTGTACGGCACAAGAGGCAGTGGGAAGACCATGACGTTGTGTCACATCATTCACTACTGCCACAGCCAGGGCTGGCTTATTGTTCACGTCCCCTGTGGTGAGTCCACAGCACAAGATCATTCCCATTATAGGGATCGGTCACCCATTTGTTGCTGTCGGATCGAAAGTGAATAGTACTGCTGATTGTCGCAACTTGCAAATCTGTCGGCTAGAGCTAAGTCTAGTTCTGTGCCCATAGAGGTTATGTGTTAACATGTCCTCAGAGCGCAGAAGTTTTGTATCACTGGGATAGGCAGGCGTAAATCTGATGTGTATTTGTTGTAACTACATGTACATGTAATTTAAAATAACAAAAACAGCCTCTCAGACATCATGGAGATACCAGTAATGTAATGTATCACTTCTACTGAATATATGTACAGACACACTGACAATGGACATAGCTATTGCGCTTGAAGCCTGTTTTGGACACGGCTTGCATTTTATGTTAGATTGTTACTTCAACAGTTTCAGGTATTCTGTTGAAATATCAAGAGGGAATATGAGGTTTTCTCTAAAGACCCGCCTCTGCTGATCCCCCAAGAAATCAATGGAGGTATTTATCTCTTGTAGGAAGAGTAGAAATAGCGGAATAAAAGTTTGTTGTATCCCTCCTGAGTGGCTTGGAGATCATGGGAAATTATACAGAATGAAGTGCTATGTCCACTGGTGGCTACATCATCTATGGATTTCTCTGATGAGCTTGTTACCTCTCTTGTACGTAGCTAATTCGTGGAATGTGAAAGGCAGATTTGATTACATCGATTCAGTTCGTCACGAGGGGATGTATGACCAGCCAGCATTCTCGTCAGAGTGGCTCAAACATTTCAGAGCAAGAAATGAACACTTTCTGAAAGAGGTTTGTTCTCTGCTTAGAGTGCTGTGTTATAATTAGCATGGTGATGTGGAGACTTCATTGACCTTATACAAATACAAGACCCCTTAACTCACATGTTAATCTCATCACTAATTGAAACGGTTCAACATGTATCTGTTTAACTTTTTTGAAAAAATTCTCTTTTCCAGAAAGCTCAGTTTGTGTTAGCTTCCAAAGTTTACTCCTATTGCAATAAAATTTCAGTTCTGAATCCAAATGATTGAGATATTTATCTTGTACTTGACCTTGTTAAACACTTGCCACTTTGCCCATTGGTCCACAGCTGCAGGCGAGTGAGGATTACGTGTGGAGCAGACGAGAGACCACAGAGAAGGGACAGCCTCTCCTGGCCATCGTTGACCAGGTCAGTAACAGCTTGACCCAGCTCCTCTCTCAACAAGAGGTGCGGGCAAAGATTTGTAACCCTGAAAGGGCCAAGAATAGTCTGACCCCACTGGTAGAGGGCAGTGGATGCGGCTCCTCATTAGGATCTCAGCTGTCCCCTTGATCAATCTTTTTAAAACTTGACATGCATGTAAAAGACATCAATTTTGAACAGATTCGCCAAGTTTTGTTACGGTCACTTGTTGTCCACCCTGTCGTGCAGGTTGAGCGCATGTCAATGGGACAAATTTTTAAAAAATTGTAACCTACCTGTTTGGGGGGAAAAATAGACATTCATGGATGAATGAATGTCTGATAACCATGGAATTGATTTTTAAAAAACTTTTGGATACACGACATGAAAACTTTTTGAACAAAATTTCTATGTAACAGTACCGGAGAAAATATAGTGGAAGTGGGTTCTGCTCCACTGGCTAAAGATTTGTCTGAGAAAGCAGTGTAAACATCTTCAGTCATGTTTGCATCAGAAGAATGCACTTTTTGTTCAAATGTACAGCATTGAATAATCCTGGTTGCTGAATTGAGATCAGGTTTTCACCCCTAAAGTGGAACATTCCATATCTCTAGTGGATAAAAAGCCTGCGAATACATTTCAATGCCAGAATAGTTGGTAAAGATCTGCGATATGCCTGATGTTTTCTGCATCATCAGAAAATCGAACCAGGAGCCTGGGAATTGTCAGTGACCAACATTTTGTTGTGTTACTCCCCAGGGTGTTGCAAGGCCAAAGAACGCCAGCGACGCCATCGGTGTAATCTTGAAGGAACTGCAGTTACAGAGCCAGAGAGGTGCATTCAAGATGCTGTTTGCTGTCAAAGGTGTCAATGGATTCTTTGCCGAGAAGACGATCGTACGCAAACCTGGAGGATACGTTGTAAGATGTAGCGTCCTGTACTCTTATTGTTTCTGAGGATTTCAGGAATTGTTATGCTGTTGTATGAAAGTTTTTTCAGACGTGACTTTTCTACAAAACTGAATCTATAAGGTGACAGTATTTCTATCCGGTAGCAAGTTGGAACCCTTGATAGCGAAGTTAGTGTGGTTTGTTTGGGAGAAGGTTCCGCCTTAAAGAATGGAATTTTCTGCGTGTCTAATAAAAAGACAATCATCAAAACTATTCAGTGTTGGTATACTGAAGTGTGTTCTTCTTCACTTTACTCTTCAGATAACTCTGTTATATGACCTCCAGCAAGACTTTTTGGTTTCAACTTGGTTTTTAATCTTAACTTTACTGAATTTCGTAGATGATAAACTGTTCAGTGATTTATAACTTGAAAACTTGCTATTTCTTTAAAAATCATGGATGAACCACAATGAACCAAAATCCAAGTACAAAAGAACTAATAAAGATAACCAGAATTGTCACTTCTGTTGATTTTGATTTCGAAAAATTCGCAGATGTAATCAGCAAATCACAAGTCGTGACAAATCAGGGGATGAAACTTTGACAAAGGATTGAAGGCAAGTCCTGTGTCACAGTTCAAAGAGCAGGCTGTGACTTGAGAAAGCAGGACTTGTGTATAACTTGCGACAATTTGCTCACAACTAAAAGATGTGGACTCGAGAGATGACTGCAGTTGTAAGATTTTCAAACCACAAGCAATTTAACATACACAGATCAACAGACTGTTTCTATTTAAATAGTTTGTCTAATCTTGGTGCGTTTGTCATAGATTCCAGTGACGGAAATGACCATGGTGCAACATTTTAAGAAGATGCTGCTTGGAAAATGGGTATGTGGATGGCCAACTTACAGAATAAGTTACACAGTTACTGCACAAATGTGGCCTTTCAACTCATTTTGTGTAATGAGGATTGATATCGCCCCATAGTCGCAGCAAGATCTGTCAGAGTTAAAAGATCATTTAACTTTGCAAACTCACAGTTTGCTCTGATATCACACAGGTGCCATCGTGTTTGCTTTCATGCAGGCATGTTGATCAGCCTCAAAGCTGGTACTGGCTCTGACTAAACCTTGGTAATATGTTTTGTTATTGTTGTAGATCAACGGTGCCATTGTGACCAGTGTAGATCAGCATCTCTTTCGTCCCCGGCGACCAGACTTCAAACCACTCCACCTGTTGCAAAAAGAGGTAGGCGACTTGACGTATCTATGGCCTCAGCACAGGAGATTGGTGCCTATGAGTGGGGAGGGCACAATCTTATGGGACATGGTTCCGGACGAGGGGTCAGACTAGTCGCCGGACTAGTTGGCCAAGTTCCACTGTAAATATCAATGACTTTTTGCCTTGAGGTAAAAAAAAAAGTTGATGAGTTGTTTCTGGTAAGCTTGATGTCATGGTAACTCATTTTGCTACACCCATTCACGATTTGAACTTGTAGGGTTTTGAGGCGATGGACCCTTTTGTTCCGGTGTTTGTCGACAACTACACGGATAAAGAGTTTGAGAGCTGCGTGGCGTTGTACAAAGAGAAGAAGTGGATTCAGAATGAAGCAGGCAAGTTTGAAAGCAAGATGTGTCCCATGAGTTCTCCAATCTCAATCCTTATTCAAAGTGTGAGCTTGTGGTCAGAAGTCATGTATGAAGTGAAAGGGTCAAGTAACAGGTGTAATAGACTTGTATTTGAGTTATAAATTGACTCTGCAGTGCAAAATGAAAAGAACAGTCAAGATGTAAAATACACCACACACTGAAGACATGCTTTGTCTTTATGTGTCTACATGTACATCCATAGTCCCCACCAATCTTGGTTCCTCTCAGAAAGCATGTGTGAGAAGCAACCATGACGTCATCAGTACGGAGGCCTGTTGAGACCCTTGCTGTCCTGACAACTGTCTCTTCTTTCCTTTCTTCTGCTTTGCAGCTTTCACCAATGACGGTATGTTGCAGCTGCGGTTCCTGACGGAGAAAAATCCAGCGGCCCTCTGTCGGGTGTGCGCTCCACTTTGACTGGCATCCTGCATCTTGTAGATATATTTAAATTGCTATTTGGGTTAAAATTGCTAGGGAAAAAAACACAGACGGGGTGGAGCTTTTCTTAATGCTTACGGGAAAAAACAACACACTTTTTTTCCCTCCAAGTTCATTAGCAGTCACGTTTTACTTTTAAAGGAAAAAAGGCAGGGGGAGCTTGAACAAAAGCTTTCTATGTTTGTTTTGGGGAGCGAAGGTGCCATCGAAATGTCCTCACATATTAGACGTCATGGGAAACACTTCTTAAAATATAGTTAATTCTGCCGTGTTGGTAAGATTTACTTGATGGTCTGAAGAATAGAAACGAACTCGTTGCTGCATACGTTTTCCACTTTAAACATGTCTGTTGCAACGAAAAGGTTTTCAGCAGACAAATCATAACAGAATTTGACAGTACATGCACACATTTTGTTTATTCACAATGGCAAACAAAATGTTCAACATTTATCCGCCCGCTCCCAATTTGCTCTTTGAATATAAGCTACTTTGGCATCAAAAATCCCTTTATTTTTTAACCCTGAATATCAACCCACTGTGATCTCCAATTGTACTTCATAAGACATGTCAGGAGAACACCTGTCCAGCTTACTGATGGTTGGCATTCACACCAAATTATTTTTCAAATGTTGCTTCCACGTATGTTCCCTCAGTATTGGTATTATTTCCATCTCATTTTTGCGAAGTTTAGCAATTCCTTACTTTTAGCCTTGCCAAAAGAGTATTTTTCAAACTGGCCACTCTGTCATCCTAAAACCCTATTCTTGTGGGGGGGGTACTATTCAAGAAAAATCCACCAAAAATTCCTGCAGAAACTCTGAACCATTTTATTTGGATGTTCAGTTTTTATGCATTGTGTTGACTTTAGTAACTTTGTTACCCTTAACATGTAGTGCTATGCACTTTTCACGTGGTATTGTTTTTTTCCATCAATTTTTGTTTTCCCCTCGTTCCATGTTATAAATAAAGCATTTTGCTTTCAACAAAGTCCACGTTACGAGTGGCGTAAACAGGCTCTTCTCAGAGGGGGTAGTGGTTAATTTCATGCATGCACGAGTGTTAAACGTACATGTACATGTATTGAGCACAACATTTCTGGTGTAGTCAGCACTGTGACTCGGAACCCATTAAGCTTCTGCTTAGCAAAAGCCCCTATTTTAAAAAATAAAATTAATGTTGTATTCCAATTTTTGACACATTTGGCCTGGCTTCTCAGACACATGAAAAACTGTGTATGTAGTCTACGGGCATTTTAAGCATGCATTAAAGAGAGGTCATGCTATTTAGCATCAACAAGCGTCAAAAAAGTGTCAAAAAGTTACTCAACCAAATTTTTGCACGTAAAGATCATATTCGATGTGTTACATTTATCTAAAATGATAGTTGAGTGTGGCAATTTGAGCGACAAAGTTGGGCCTGGTGGGGCCTGCTCGAGTAGCCCAACCGGCTGCTATCATTTTTGTGGGGATGGCAGAGAAAAGAAAGATGGCGACCTCAATACATCACAAAAACTGTTTCTTTTCCTGCAAGAATCTGCAAGCAAATTTGCTGTTTCTCTTACACAGTGGCAGATGTTAGAGTCTGTAAAATATGATAAAACCTTTTCAAAAATTGTCAAGGGTATTTTCAAGTTGTTGACGCTTTTGTTGGTGCTACCGGTGTGTTGACATGTTTGACACTTGTTGACAATAAACAGCATGAACGTTAAACTTTAGAGAACAGGGTTTTTCTAAAAGTCATGGCTGCTGTCATTGTTAAACACCTCTGGTTCCACATGGGGACAAGACATCTCTTTAGAAAGCTCAGGATGGGGCACTAAGGAATGTGTACCCTGGTCCAACTGGCTGGTTTCTTGAAGGCTGGAGTGTGGCGTAAGGTCAAAATAGTTGCTGTAAAAAATCAGACAGAGGAAATAAATGAGACAATAAAATAAGTTACGAGAACGGAATGGGGAAGAAATGTATGTTACATTTGGACTACCAGTTATTTCAACAACCACTTTTACACTAGCTGGAATGCCTTTCATACTGATTAACACCTTTAGCTGAACTCACGGGCAGGGGAGTTTCATCTAAACTCGGAGTAAAACCAATTCTAGGAAGAATAGGGGAAACCGAGTAGAATATGAATGTGTACTGTAATCTCTCATTGGATTTATTGGGAGAACACTGGTTGGGAATGAGCATCTTATAGGTTCATAAAGGATACCAAATGTACTTTTTACCTTTCAAGTGAAGTTTTGTGATGGATGGCTGTGTGTCATGTTCAACTTCATACATGTCCAGCAACCAATTCAAAACCTGTAAGAAAAAAGTAGAAATGACATATCAGGGCAGCGCCCTGAAGTAAATGGTCTTATAGAATGAAGTCATCATACTCGGGCTCTGCGCCTCTGACTTAACATTTTGAACTCAAAATTTAAAACTGGAAACTCGGTCTTGACATTGAAACTCTGATTTGACACTAAGAACTTGGATGGGAATGAGGGACTGAAATAGAACCTTGGACTTCACATTTAGAACTTAGATATGACATGTGGAACACGACTTCGAGACTATGAATTTGGATTTGACACTGGCAACTCGAACTTGGCTTGAAGAACTCAGACTTGGCGTAAGGAAGTCAGACTTGATACTAGAAACACTACCTCAAAGATTTGACAAAAAAAAGCTATCTGTACCTTTTCTGTTATCTGTGACCACGGCTCTCTCTTCAGTAGCAGTGGTAAGCCATAGGGCAACAGTTCTGACACATCTTCACTGGCATAATGTTCCGTCGGACGAAACCTGGCACGACTGGTACTTGCCTTCCTTGATCCCTGCTCCCCATGCTGTGCAGTCAGCCAGCTCGGAGCAATGGCAAGGATTAAGTGTAAGTCTTTAGACGACCAGGCGACGACTGCCGTGGCAAAGACATCCAGCAAGATCTGAACTGCCTGAAAAGAAAAGACCACAAAATTTCAATGAAAACCTGTTTAAATTGAACAAAAACTCGTCCACACTACAAGCACAGAATGCAAGGATGACGGCATGTTTGATAAACCAGTCGACCAAACCTGACAACAAAATCCAAGTCTACTTCATGTCAAAGAATTTAAAATCTAAGTCACAAAAATGTTGAGGGCTGACATTTCCATCCCAGCAGAATATTTCTGAAAGACCTTTGAGAAAGATTCTACTTGCATTGAAATGCGAGGCCCTCTTAACTTGATTGATGTATTTTGGCAGCAGATTTTGGCGGTTTACATTTTTACAAATTAAAAAGGAAATTTTGTGATGGACATGGAGCAGTGCCTTCTGCTAGAGTGTAAACATGAGGACTCCACTTCCCTTCTACAATAAAAGATAAACAAAAGAATCTGAATGGCCGCAGCTCATAAAAAAAACTAGTCACCTTGTATATTGGTCTGTTAGGAGCCAACTGGGTCTTGGCATGTGCGACATTTCGGGTGTGGCCCATGAGTTCCAGCAACCAGTGCACCCTGTGCATGGGTGCGGTGTGCTGACTAGGGATGGCATCGCATTGAGCCAGGGCTACCAGCAGCATCCCCACCAGGCTGCTACGCTGTGAACTGTCTGCGACATTCATGGCCACGTCTACACAGAATTCGAATGACACCGTCAACCGGAGTAACTTTAATTTAGCAGAAATCTTAACCCCAACCACATTATTATTTTGCGGTGTTAATTCCTACATTTGGTTACACTGATTCCATCAAAAGTCATATAAATACATGTACCACCATTGTTACAAACGTACAAATTTATATTTTTATATAATTTATATATAAATTTAAATTTATATATTTTGTAAAAATTATATCCATGACACTCCATTTCAATGAGCTGCCAAATTTACGTCAATTCATGGGGAGATCAATTCATTGGCAGTCAATCAATTCATTGGCAGTCAATTCGATCCTTGATCCCATCAACGACTGGATCAAGGATCCTATTTTGTTGTAGCTAAGTTGTCAGATCAGGCGAGTGGTACAAAGATGCAATGCAAATACGGTTTGGAGATGAAGCAACCACTACATGTAGGTAGCAAGACCTTCAAAATTTACCCCAGTTTGCAGAACTGAAGCTACACAACACCTGGTTGGAATATTACACAAAGACTTGTCATAATTCAATAAGAATAACAACATCTCTTTCAGCCAGTATCTACAATGAGTCGCTTACCAACACAGGGGTTGAGCCACATAAGGGACTGCTTGCCTTGACATACAATGTAAGATCGAATAAAAGTTGATTTGAGCAGACCATTCTGCAGTTAACAAGAAAAATATGTTCAATCAATGCTATTGCAAACAACAATCATACAAATACATGTAGTCGATTTTGTATTTCTCCACTGTCACATGAACAGCAGGAGATGACATCTATTTTGTTATTATGATAAATCAAATAACTGGTGGAGCTAACCTGTGCCAGGGGTGAAGTGACAGTGTCAATGTCCTCCCCAGGAAGATGACACAGGCATTGAGCCAACTTGGCCAAGACTCTACTATGAGCTTTCTGTCAAATGCGAAAAAAGGAAGAAAAAAAACCACTTTGAATTCACAAGTATTTGTCTTCTTGTGAATACAGATATAAGCAGTAGCATATCCAGGTTTGGAAGTCTGGAGGCAAACAAAAATGGGTGTGGATTCAAGCTGTTTTATCTCTAGACACTGTGAAAGAGTGATAAGTGCGTAATATGGGACTATACAGTAATGGGCAAGAAGCAAAATGACATTTGGTGAAAGGGTTCTTGGCCACATTGCAGTTTATCAAAGATATATATTTTCGACAGGGATAAATAACTTGCAACAAAAATCTACCATTACAAGGCCTCACCAGCAAAGTTGCTGGTATCAGACTATAGATGTCCTTGACTGCCTTATGGAGTATGATGACAATCCCATGTGCTGGGTCTGGTATCCTTAGCGCGGCCAGCAGACTGTCCACGATGACTTCACATTGGTCAAGCATGTGAACCCCTACCACGCGAAATGGCTCCATGAGGTTTGTCTCTACAAACGGCTTGAGTTTGTTAGCCGGCACAGCTCTGATCAAGGCAGGCAAGGCCCCATACAAGATGGTCTTACAAGACTCCTGCAACCAAAAACATTGAGTATATATGTAATAACAACGAACATAACAGTGACCACCTCTACCCTCACAGCTACCTATCAATACCACGAGGTGGAGGGAGGCAATTGGAGTAAAGTGACTTGCCCAAGGTCACGATATGTAACGAGCTGCTGGTCTTGAATCCAACACCCTTTGCACAGGAGTAACACAGACTGACCCCTCAACCACACACCTGTGGTGAGAGGTGCACACTAAACCCATCAAGACACAATAATTTTCAACCTACAGTAACAAGTTACAGTTGAACTTGGCAGTCAGATTAAAACAGTATTACTGGCACTTTTGTCACATCCCACAACCTCTTGTCCCCTCTCAAAGGATTTGAGATTTGAAAGGACTGCCATGGACGACTTGCTTATCAAGCGACAGTATTCCCTGGGCAGAAATACATGCAATCAATTGCATGTGCTGAAGCATACAAGTATGGCACAGTGGACGTGCACTCGTTCATCTGAATGCCTGAAAGCTCTTGGGTCTGATGAATAGACTAATCCGATTAGACGACGTAACTGTAGTGGCACCACACCCACTGGCACATTCTTGAACTTGACACAGGCGTTCATAGGCAAATCGCGACACCCTATTGGCCAAAGAGGAACGTAACGCGCGCATACCACATGTCCATACCACCTGTCCATGAGCTTCTAATTCTGGTTCTCAAATGACACTATACTAGTGCCAGACACATAGCAGCGTTAGTGTTGACGATTAACCGAATGCCAATCTGCTGAAACACCAACATCTAAGATGGCAGTTGCTCATGGAGTGCCTATGTGGACTTCAAAACTGAAGATGAATTTGTCACTCAAACTTGACTGTGACTGGATCCCACAGTATGATTCTTATGGCAATTTTCAGTGACTTCCTTTCTTTTGTTTGCATCAGAAAGAGCAAATGGAGCTCTGAGTGTCTAAGTAACACTTAGTTTGGGATACAATTGAAAATTGACTTAATGTGGGGCAAAATGTTGCGAACCCCCATTTTTTTTAGTGCAAGATTCTTTTAATCCTAGCCCGTATGTTGTGGTCAAAAATCCTGTAAAAATTAGAAAAATGAAGACTGCTTGTGCGTAAGGCTTTTTTTTGGGCTCTGGTGATTTCAGACTCCTTTTGTTAAGTTGGGCTACAAATGCTGTTAACATCTCCAAGTTTTGTGGCTTACCTTGAGTGTTGAGAAGATGGAAGGAGACAGCCAGGCCGTCACACACAGCAGAGAAGTGGATGGACGCTGACATTGGGACAGGGCTAGCTCCATGCACAAGCCATGCACCTTCTCTCCTGACAAATAACCGCACAATTTTGTTATTGAATTGTCTTCAAATTATTTACCAAGCTTTTTCAGGTCATGTATGAAGACTGAAGCACATACACCTGAAATGGGACAGATCTCTGTCACAAAAAACTTTGGACAACAACTACGGAGAATAAGTGTGCTGTACAGTCAAATGAATGCAAGTTTAGTAATACATGTTTTATTCTCAATATTTCTCTTTCAAAATGACAAACTTTGCATAGTTAATGGTCTAGACCAGTGGCGTCCTCACTTAAGGGGAGGGTTGGTCAGGAGGCGAGTCAGCAAGGGGGCAAATTAAAGTGGTGAGTCAGTCAGGGGGCGACTTTGTTAGGTGTAAGTCGGTAAAGGTCGAGTGGGCAAGGGGGCAAGTTAACCTGACACCAAACTTTGTACCTTGTTACCTTCATAAATTAGTAACTTCTCTACATCAAGTAAGGGCCCTTTCCCTTGCTTGGCTTGTCTTTTTCAAAATTCATAGATGGTAGTATTTACCATAGGGAAGTCTCAGGATGGGTGACAGTACAGCTGTCCAATTGACAGGAGGTAATGGTAGCATGGAACCCTGTCGACCAGCTAGTGCTGTGAGCAGTGTCTCCAGCCTCCTTGCAGGTATGAGCTCTGGCCCCATCTTGCTGGCCAGGATTAGATGGTCGATGCAAGTGCGTAGAAGGCTGGTCTCGGACAGATAGGAGTAGGATGACGGAGCTACATGTAGGAGAGACATAAAAGGCTAGGGTCTACTCTCGCCACCTACTCATGGGAACTATGGGTGTTTCCTGAATTTTGGCTTTATCTCCGTCTTTGGTCTCAGGCTTGAGTTTTGCTGATTAAGTTGGCTGAGTTGAGACCTGACAGCTCAGCAAAGCTCTATTTTCTGCTAGAAAAACTTGCAATTATTTAATGTGTGGCTAAGAGAATTTTCATTTATCAGAACCAAAAGTGTTGCCACTTACCGTTTTTACCCTCAAATACTATGCGCTTTGTTTTACAGTGAAAGAAACATTTACAGGAGACAGTGAGTGAAGTCAGTGTTTGGAGAAAGACCTTGGGGCAACTATGAGGGAGTGCTTCTGGTCAAGGCAGATAGGGGAGTCAGGTTGGTGCCTAGTCCCTTCTTGTCTTCCACCTTTGTGATTTGGGTTCGTTTTCCAAACTCCAGCAATTTCTCTTCCCTCCAAAGTCCCTCTAGTTTGTAAGCTCACAGAGCTGGGACCCAAGCACTGTGGTAAGCTAGGGTGCTTTTGTGAATTTCCACCCCTGGATGCTTGCCATGGCTTCACAGACCAATATCACACTCACTGCCTGTGCTACTTTCCGACGAGGAGGAGGAGACCAGATGAAGATAGCCAAGCAGAGAAGCCGCAGCATTCTGTATGGCAGGATCTGCCCAGTCCGTCAAAAGCTACAAAGCATAAGTAACAACGAGGACCCTTCAAAGTTTCAGTCAGTAAACCACATCTATTTGGCCTACGTTTTTGGTTTTGTACCAGTGCAATCAACTTTTGAAATCTTGTCCCTAGGTGTTGCAAAAGTGGCAACCTTAGAATACGGCAGCTAGCCTTTTTTTTTTACTCGGAAAGATGATTAAAAATAAACAAAAGGTGTTGGAGCAATTCTGATTATATTACTGTGTGAAAGAAACTGGGGATGAAATGGAGGAATACCTGATTGAGTTGCTTAGCAACAGCTGTCCTCTTGTTATGCATATCACTTGTCATTTGAGTCTGGGAGCCACTTTGCATCACCAGTCCTGTGCCAGTCACAAGCCCTGTCAGACCATAAATAGCCGCTCTCTTCTGCTGCACTGAAGTTGCCTACAAATATAACACACACTTTTTCATTTTTTTTCTTCCATGTTTTTTTCTGACCAGACGATAATTGACAATACCTGGCATCTCTGAAAAAAAGTTTGAAACAAAACTTTTGCAGACGTCATGTAAGACTCATTTGGTGCACGCATAATGCATGGCTCACACATCTGAAGAATAAAAATAAATCTCAACAAATACAAAGAAATTCAATTCTGAGTTTGTTTTTGAGAGATGAGAGGATAAATGTGCACTTCTTGCTTCAGAGTTATTGGTCAATCAACCTGACTGGTGACAGACGTGGACCACGTTGAGAACAGGTTGGCTAGCAGGTGTGATATTGAGGGATGACTGCTGCCGACCAGAGAGTGGAACATGACTCCTGTACTGACTGCAATACCAGCATTCTGAAAGGGGAAAAAAATGTCATTATGACCTTATGCTTATAAAAATGTTAGCACAAGTTTTCATTAACTACCAGTCACTGCACAGTGACTCACTGCATCAGGAAATGCTTGAGATGAATTCTTGCAATATCTCTATGGAATTATTGGTACACCTTTGAATGATTGCTTTGTGCACCAACTTGGAATAGCCTGCAAAAAAAGATGTTCCATGAGAGAAACATTTGCAGTGAGGGAATGGTTTATCGCAGGAGAAAAGGCTAGAACGGACTGTTCTTAGGTTAATATGCACCCACATGGCACGTATTCCTCTGATGGGAACTGCCGATACGGTAAAACAAATGGGAAAAACATTTTACAATTTAAGGAAAGGGTCCTTTTTTCTCAAAAACATTTCAAAGTGACAACGTAATCTGATGAAGACTACCAGTTTCTGCTATTTCCCTGTACCTGGTCCTGCTGTTGGCACAGCGTCTGCAATTTAACAGCGACATCAAATGCTTCGCCAGGACTGATGATGTTACACTGGAAACCAGCTGCCGTCACACATCCTATGCACATGCAGAGAGCCTGGAAGTGGCACAAAGCGGAAAGCAGGTGAAGTCTTAACCCCGACTCAATTTATTAGTATAGTTGCAAGGAATCTTTAAGAATCTTTCAAAAATCTTCCGATATGCAGGGAAACCAGTGACACATTCTTTGTGCTTAGTGGTTGTGCTCAATGTCCCTCCAAGAATACCTCCAAAGACTACCAAAGGATTCTGAAGAATCTCAGAGGGTCAGGGATGATGAATCAGTCCAAAGATTAATTTGAGAAGACTTAATTACTGATGTGGCACCATGTTCACGTCCACGTTCTTACACTTGAGGACTGTCCCTTTCTACCATTCAGGAAACTTTATTGGTCAAAGAGGCATGCGACCCGGGCATACCATCGGCCCACCAGCATGGCTCCACCACAGTCCCAGGTCCTATTTCTAGTCACCAAATTAGTTCCACGTCACACTTGGCTGTCGTTCCGACCCTACCCGTAGCACCCACCTCAGCAAACAACGTATCCTTGTCTTCCACGTCCAGCCTGGCTAAGAGCTTGTGATGCATGTTTGCCACGTGGGCCTTGGTGTGCACGGCTCCCTCTGTTGACATGGCAGAGAGAACCATGGCCAGCCCTAGTAACTGTCCACAGGAAGTAGTCTGGTCCTCGGCGTTTAGACTCGTTGACTCCAGAGCATCAACTAATCGAATCATTTTAACCTCCCCCTAGAACAGCAAGGATCAAAGGAATGGTTAACTGAAATCATCAAATCAGAAGTACTGGCTGAAAAGGATTTCTAAATAATCTTACTTGATGACTGGCTTTGTAAAAAGGTTTGACAAATGAAAACTATTTTGGTTTATTTTTTGCAGTAATGCCAACATTTGATGTTCTTGAATGTTTTGACCATACCATGCTACTCGTGTTTAGCACACAAGTTCTGTGTAATTGATGTTTTGCCATACCTACTCAAGAACCTCATATGACAACAGACTTTACCACTCATTGCCACTGTTATTATAATGGAACAGTCACACCAACTCGAATAACTGGAATATACTTTATCTTTATAGTGTGCTTTCCCTTGGAGAAGATGACTTTGTAAAGCACGTTTTAAGAAGATGGTGACACCACTGTTGACCAACAACAAACTTGGTGAGGCTCTTGCAAGTGGATCAATAATATCGAGACTGACCAATGGTAAAAATAGCTGAAAACAGCTGAAAAAAAGGCATAAAGAAGCTGAACTGTGAAAATCTCCTATACTTTTGTACACAGCCAGTGAGGAAAAAAAGCTGAAATCCCAAACCAAAAAAGCTGAAATCAGCTAAAAAGCTGAGAAGTCTCACCCCTGTAATATGCAAATGAATATGCATATCTTCCCCTCCTGTTTTTTCTGTACCTCACTTCCAGTGTAGTCCAGGTAATGATCCTCGTATAGTCTTGCAGTCAACATTCCCAAAGCAAGCCCATGGTGCATCAGTCTAGCCTGCGACTGGTGAGCTCTTGGTTGCCCCGGCAACCCATCTATCAGCACATCCATGATGCGGTGCAGTTGCTGGGTGTCCGTGGTCAGCAGGAAGGGTGCCAGAAGGGACAGGGCTAGGGCCGAATTGCCCTGGACGGTAGAGGGCAAACTGGCCCCCAAATCACCAGAGTGCTGAAACATCAAGAACAATGGATCTCAACTTCTTGTGAACATGTGAACAAATTTTGACATGAACGACAGATGGACAGTAAGGGTGAACAGACAGAAGAATGAAAAGGATGCTGAGAAAAAATGGTTCAAACCAAACGTCACGACTCCACCCAAGTCTTCCAAAATCCTGTAGCGAGTGGGAGAGCAATGGCACATTCTTTCGTACTTCAACTTAAAGAGCAACAAGCTCCATGTAAAGTGATCTGCCATGAGTTGAATTGCTCCCTCATGGGCAATGAGAAGACAGGCTGGTGGGATGTCTCTAAAGCAGGCACCTGCACGCACCAAGAGCAAACGCGAAGACCAATCACATTCAAACAGAAATTGGTGACGCATGCTTAGTGTGTCTCGTAGGCACACACGGTGAGTTCCAACTCATGGTGAGATTGTTTTCCCTTTGTTAAAACGAAAAATACCCCGTCCTGTTTCCTTTCGGAGGGGATAGTGGCTAGGTTCTACCTTCCTCAATCCTGCAAAAGTTCTTCAAATCCCGTTGAAGGATTTTGATGGATCTGGGATGGTTTGCAATGAATCTTAAGTCTCCTTTTTATATGTTTTTCAAAGGTAGGATACAGGCCTGAGTTGCAGACGGGTAGTGGGCTGGGATGACTGATGGAAAAACTCAAATTATCTGGGAGGAGCTGAATGGGGCGGGGACTTGCTGGAGGGTGTTGAAGTCATGAAAGATATTGGGAGATAATACTTTTTCGGGTCAAACATTGCCAAACTCAGACTAGGGGCTTTGCACATGAATGAAAGTTACACAAATTCTACCAAACAATGGTGTACTCGTGGAGAGCTCAAAATATGGCAGAAAAACCAAGAGAGCCATATACACGTATATGGAGTAAAAACTGATCTAATGGTGTACTGAAGCATGTGCGAGGCACAATGACTCACAAGGAGCTCACAATGGGCCCCTAACTAGAGAGGTTGCCATAATTTACTAAAATGGTTTATTATTTTCAAGGATCTTGTCAACAGAATGCCAAAGTGAGCTCCTTTATTTGGAGAGAAGTTCTTGTACCTGTTGGTACCAGGTGAATATCTTCACACCCGCCCGCAGCTTGACACCTAGGAGGCACAGCAGTGTATCAATGACCACGCCCAGCCAGTGATTCTGACCGGTGTGTTGCATTGAAGACTGGTGGGCTAATCTCGCCTCATCGTCGCCATCGTTATCCAAGGCCAGGAAGTGACGAGTAGAGACCACGGCCAAACCGGCCAAGGCCAGAACGGAGTTACTCTGAGCTGAGGGGTTGCTTCTGTAAAACAAAGCATCACTGCAGATTGAGTCAAAGCTTGTAGTAGCACAACATGGGATTATCTCTTCTTGGAGTCACGAGTGGGATTTTAAAAAGAACTGGTGACGTAATTTGAGTTTGGATTACCATATTACAATGCAACGTTCTGTGTTTAGACTGTCACGTTATGTTGCAA